AGGGAGGAGCTGGCACCACACGGGTGGTGTAGTCAAGGCGGCTGGCGGCAGCAAACTGAGCGGCAGCGGCAGTGAGAGCGGAGACAGACGACGGAAGAAAACGAGAGTTGGTGATAAGAGTGGCGAGGACACTGGAGACAACAGGACGAACACCACGGTAGTAGTCAGTGATAGGAGTAAGAGGGACAGGGAGAGAGGACGGAGGAGGAGACGGGAGAACGGACTCAGGAGGAGGATGACGAAGAGTCGAGCAAAGGAGGGCAGTGCGGAGGTCGGGAACGGGAGACGAGGGACGAGCACTCGGAGGATAGGGACGGACACGAGAGTGTGTGACAACTGGCGGAGAAGACCGCGGTGGAGGAGACTGCGGTGGAGGAGAAGACCAGACCACCGGACTGGCGTCAGGAGGAGGAAACGTGGGACCAAACACTGGAGGGGACGGAGTGTGAACAGGAGGAGAGGAGGGAAGACCAAGGGCCCAAAGGCCACTCACGGGTGGGAACAACTGCCGCTCCAGAGGGAGGTGCTGTGATCGCGGCTGCAGCGGCGGTGTCTGCTGCTGCGGCTGCGGCTGCTGCACTGCTACCGCTGCTGCTACCGCTGCTGCTGCTGCTCCAGCAGGTCCAACCGCCGCAACTCCTGCCGCTCCTGCTCCAACAGCACCTGCTCCTCACGCTCACGCTGACGGGCCGCCTGGAGACGCGTGTCGTGGCGGTGGGGAGGCGGAGTGGACTCCGCAGACCAGTGTCTCCAGCCCCCGTCTCCTCAGAACCAGCACCTCCGGTGCCAGTGCCTCATGCACCAGCACCCCCAGAACTAGCACCTCCAGTGCGAGCGCCTCCAGCTCCAGCACCCCCAGAACTAGCACCTCCAGTGCCAAGACCTCCAACTCCAGCACCCCCAGAACTAGCACCTCTATTGTCAGCACCTCCAGCTCCAGCACCCCAAGAGCTAGCGCCACCTGCGCCAGCACCTCCAGCTCCAGCACCCCTTGAACGAGCATCCCCAGAACGAGCATCGTCAGTGGCTGCACCTCCAGCTCAAACACCAACCGCTTCCACAGCAACCTGTCGCGGAAGTGCCGAAGGCTGCTGAGGGGACTGTGAGGAGGACTGCAGGGAGGGAGACGCTACCTGACGCGCGACCGAGGGTAGAGGGGTAGCGTGGGACACACCAGACGGAGCAGGACCAGGGGGGGGCGGGGGTACCGGAGGAGGAGGAGCAGGTGGAGGAGAGGGTGCGAGGAAAAGGGGGGGAGGGGGAACCGGGAGACCTCGATTAGGGTACCGGGTGTAGTAGGACACAGACTCGTCGAACCGGACGTCACGGAAGTCTAGGAACTGGTGGAGGGGCGGGTGGTAAAAGGACCAGTCGGCCGAGGCTACCGGGAAACCAAGGAAGACACAGGGGACGGCGCGAGCTGAGAGCTTGTCTGCAGAGGTGACGCGGACAAGCGCAAGGCAGCCCCAGACACGAAAAGCTGACCCAACACTAGGGGACCCTGTCCAAAGACTAGTCGGTGAAGCCTCTGGCCGCGAGACGCGCAGCTGGAGGTTCAGCTGGTGAGCGGCGTAGCGAACCGCTTAGGGCCACATAAAATGGGGCGCACGGGCATAAATCATGGACGTGCGGGCAATGTCCATGACCAAGCCGATGTGGCGCTCAGCAACCCCATTCTACTGTGGGGACTCCGGCAGCATCCAGGACTGTACGATGCCCTGCTCGGCGCAGAACCCGGCAAGAATGCCTGAGCGAAACTCACCCCCACGGTCAGAGTGGAGACAGGAGACACGACAGCCAAGAGTGCCCTCAGTGGCTAGAAGCCACTGGATCAACGTAGAAGTCACCTCGGACTTCTTCGCGAGAGGAAACACCATGGTGTACCTTGAGAAGTCGTCGACGACCACCAGAAAGTAGCGCTCCCTCTCAGGTCCCTGCGTAGGTGCAGGGCCCCAGACATCCAAGTGGAGTGTCTCGAAGGGAGCAGTGGCCGGACGAAGGGAGGAGGAGTGCGGAGTGGCACGAAGACGGCCGGCGATGCAAGGAGTGCACGGCGGTGCAGGCGAGGGAGAGAGCGAAGGGAAGACGCGAGGGAGACCTAAGACAAGATGGTGACTAACCATAGTGCGGAGGCGGGGGATCGACGGGTGGCCAAGACGGTGGTGCCACAAGACGGTCGGGTGGGTGAAAGACTGACACGAGCAAGACGCAGCAACTAGACCGGACACAGCAACCTGACCGGACACAGCAACCTGGCCAGACACAGCAACCGGTGGGGATGCAGTAACCTGACCGGACGCTGCTACCGGGGGGGACGAAGCAACCTGACCAGACGCAGCTACCCGCGGGGGTGGAGTGTGCAGGACGAAGAGACCTGAGTGGGGCTCTCTGGTGAACGTGGCAAGAACTGCCCCGGTGGAAGAGTCTGTACAAATTGCAGTCCTCCCGTGCGCAGGAAAAGTGATTATGATCCCCCGGTCCTGACACCCACCAAGTTCCAAGAGAACGAGGGGATGTAGAGACCAGTGAGGAAACCAGAGGGGACAGCTGGGCACGGGAGAGTGGTCGAGCTGCAAGCAACTGCTGGTCCTGAAGTAGGATCAGCTACGGCAACTGGGACTTGAGCCGAAAGAGGTGTGATAGTGGTGTGGTCGCGGAAGAATCACTGAGACGCGCCGTAGTCCAGCGTGAAGGAGAGCGACACAACAGAAGTCGTCACGGCTGGGCTAGTGACTACACAAGCACCTACACTAAAAGCACAAGTACCAACACTAGCAACAGGCAAAGGTCCTAAGCTAGGTACACGTAAGCCAAGAGATTTGTACGTGACAGAATAAACAGCATCCATAGACATATCAAACACAGGGTAACCACTACAAAACAGACAGGGCTAGATTGGGGGAGCCGACTCAGGCCCAAAACGCTCACGGTAGAGGTCGTCGAGGCGACTGTAGCAGCGCTGTCCAGAGTGGTCAGGACGCCAGCAGGTAGTGCCAGCACCAGGGCCGGTCTGGATCCGGTATTGGCAGGGGCCGACGTCGCGGCCACCACGACGAGCCCCCAAGCTGGCTGGGCCGCTACTGCAGCCAACGCCACCCGAACCACCAGGCCCCCACGGCTGCTGAGGGCGCCAAAGCTGCTGCTGAGGGCGCCACTGCTGCTGCGGGTGCCACTGCTGAAACCGCCGCTGCTGCTGTCCCTACTACTGGAGAACCCTAGTGGACGCCATGATAAAGGCTAGGAGCGTCAGGAGCTAGGGACGGCTGCAGTGAAACAACGAGAACAACTAGGAGCGCCATGTGAAACTAGGCGAGGAACGGCTAGAGCACGGAGCGAACTGATCCAGGAGCGAGGAGAAAAAACTACTAGAGCTAGAACGGCTGGAGCTGAAACGGCTGGAGCTAGAACGGTTGGAGCGAGAACGACTGGAGCTAGACACGGTTGGAGCTAGGAGTGGCTGGAGCTAGAACGGCTGGAGCTAGAACGGCTGGAGCCAGAGACTGGACCTGGAAATGAACCTGAATTGAACCTGGAAGCGCAACTCGCTCTAAGCATGGTGGAATGATAAGAGAACACCAAAATAAAGGCCAGAGCGAGCTCTAGCCTACTCCAACACACCCCTAGGCTAGGTGAAGCTCTGGAACAAAATACCTAGCGAACGGGAACACCCCCAGAAGTGGCAAGACGCGTGAGCCCAAGCTCGCATACGTAGAAACGGTGTGGCGCACACAGAAGGGCCTTGGTGAAAATGTCAGCAAGGTTGGCAGTAGCGGCCACCTTGCGAAGGCGTTAGAAGCCAGACTGCACCAACTCGCGCACAAAGAAATAGCGAACCTCTATGTGTTTGCTGCGGGCGTGATAGACAGGATTTTCAGTGAGATGAATCATGCTCGCACTGTCACAGGAGAGCATCACAGATGGCTGAGAGTGACCGAGCTCAGCAAGGAGAAAGGAGAGCCAGCGAGCCTCCAGATCTGCTAATGTGCCTGCGTACAACTCAGCTTCGCAGGTACCAAGGCAGACAAAGGATGAGCGAGTGGAGCGCCAGCTGATGACCTGAGAGGAGCGGCGATCAGGGCGAGAATCAGCGTCGGAGGAATCACTGTAACCGGAAAGAATAGGGGGAGAAGAGCCACCAAGAGTCAGAGCAAGATTAGAGGTAGCGCGGAGATAGCGGAGAACGCGTTTGGCAACCGCCCAATGCACGTCAGTGTGGCGACCAAGGCCAACAAAGCGAGAGAGGACACAGAGGGGATAAGCAAGATCGGGGCGAGTGCACATCATAGCATACATGAGTGACCCAACGAGCTCAGGATAGAATCGCAGTTCTGAGGAGGGAGCGGGAACGGCAGGGGCAGTAAGCTGATGGTTAGCGGGAAGAGGAGTGGAAACTGGCTTAGCCTATGACATTTCAAAGCACTCAAAGATGGAGTGGATGTAGTTGAGAGAGAGAGATGGTGCGCGCAGTACGATCGCGACGAATCTCCATGCCGAGGTAGAGGCGAAGCTCGCCAAGATCCTTGCACAGGAGACGTGCCTGGAGGGCTTGCTTGACAGCGGCAAGGTCGGCAGAATCTTCAGCGAGGAGCACCAGCATCACGAAAGACAGAGTCAGTAGCAGTAGTGTCAAGGACAAAATCCAAGGTACGAGGAAGTGAGAGAGCGGCAGCCGTAGGGCTGGGAGAGTGAGAAGCAGTGCTTTGAACGGGTTGAACGGGTTGAGCGAGGGTTCATAAGAGGAGAAGCACCAAGGATGCTATCCTGAGATGGCATGGTCACACTGAAAACAGAGGCCAGAGAGCCAAAACCAGAGGTTACATCGGCAGAAGAGCGGCGACGCTGATGGGATAGCGGAATCAAAGCAGAGGGGTGGAGAAGAGGGGAGGGACAATGGCAAGTAGGAACGGCGGAAGGGGAGGAAGGGGGAGCGAAGGGGGCGGAGAGTGGGGAAGGCAATTGTAGGAGAGGAGGTACGGCGGGAGAAGGGTGAGGATGGAAGCTCAGAGGAAGAGAGGTAAGAGCGAGAAGAGGCCCCATATGGGGGAGGGGATAGTAATCAAGCAGTTTTGGGGAGAGAAAAGAGGAGGAGGAATAGGAGTGATGTAGTCAGCTGCTGAGCCATTGAGGGGAGAAATAAGAGGAGGAGGGATAACGACGAAGTAGTCTTCTGCTGCGCCGCTGAGGGGAGACATAAGAGGAGGAGGGAAAACGGCGGGGTAGTCTGCTGCTGTGCCACTGAGGGGAGAAATACGAGGAGGAGGGATAGCGGCGAAGTAGTCTGCTGCTGCGCTGCTGAGGGGAGAAATACGAGGAGGAGGGATAGGGGGGGGAGTAGTCTGCTGCTGTGCCGCTGAGGGGAGAAATACGAGGAGGAGGGATAGCGGCGAAGTGGTCTGCTGCTGCGCCGCTGAGGGGAGAAATACGAGGAGGAGGGATAGCAGCGAAGTATTCCGCTGTTGCGCCACTGAGGGGAGAAATACGAGGAGGAGGAAAGGTGTGGAAGGCGACGAAACAGGGACAGCTACCAACTGCAGCAGATAGGGAGAGAAGAGTGGCGTAGGAAGAGGTGAGAGGGTGGTGGAAATAGAGGGAGAGAGAAGAGGAGGAGGAGGGTGAAGGAGCCAAGTGTGGGGAGGAAATAAGGTCACGATCACCAAGTGGCAATCAGTAACACGCAGCCAGATGGCAGATGCGGAGGGGAAGGAGGTGGAGGAAAGGAGGAGAGGCACGGAAGGGAGGAAGGAATGAGGAGAGGAGGAGGAGGGTGAAGAGGCGGATGGGGTGAGGGGAAAAGGAGGAGGTGGTGCAGAAACGACAAAGGAAGGCGAACCACGGGGGGGAGGGGAAGGCGCCTGCAGGGAGGTGAGGTAGGCCGCCCACGAGAGGGTAAGGAAGGGTGGCCGGGAGGAGGGAAGGGTGGCCGGGGAGATGGAGGGCGGTGGGCAAGACGCGCGCGCGCGTTGACGGCGGGGAGGCCGCGCACGTCGACGACGGGCAGGGCGCGCAACACGGCGGTGAGTAGGGCGCGCGACGAGGTGGGGGCGGGGGAGGGCGGCGCGACAACGGGACAGGGCGCGCGACTAGGGGACGGGGCGCCTGACTAGGCAGGGAGGCCTCGGGTGATGGATAGAAGGTTCCGTGATTGAAAAAAAAAAAAGGAAATTGAAGGGTCAAAATAGTAGGGAAAATAAATTTCGACTAGGTAAAAAGTGGCGCTCCGGATGCCTAAGGCCTAAACCGTACTCAGAGGTAAAGATTGGGACAAAACGCCAAAGATTTGGCTCTAGATACCATGTTATAGCTGAGAGTGTGGTAGCCATGGCTAGGAAGAGAGAAGGTAGCGAGAGAATTGTATTAGAAAAGAAGTGTCGAGATACAAGTCTAGAAAGGAATTGGAAACCCTAATTGAACTTAGGGTGTGTTCTGTTTGTACTATAGCTACGAAATGAACCTAAATTGAACTTGGAAGCGTAACTTGCTCTAAGCATGGTGGAATGATAAGAGAACACCAAAATAAAGGCCAGAGCGAGCTCTAGCCTACTCCAACAGAAGACGCGTGCGGGTGGAGACGGTAGAAGCAGACCGACTCGTCAAAGGTGACGTCCTGTGAGGACAGGACGTGGCGCGAGGCAGGGTGGTAAAACTGCCAGGACGGGGCGTCGGTGGGGAAGCCAAGGAAGACGCAGCGGAGAGTGCGAGGAGAGAGCTTGCCCACGGTGGTGCTGCGGACAAGGGAGAGCGCGCCCCAGACCCGAAACGCCGACGCATCGCCAACCTCCTACGTCCAGCGTAGTGTAGGCAAGGTCTCTGGCACTGAGACACGGGGCCAGAGGTTGAGCTGATGTGTGGCGTATCAGACCGCGAACGGCCACAGAAAATGGGGAGCACCTGCATGGATCATGGAGGTGTCAAACATTATATATGTTGTGCTTGTTTATGCTACAAAGGGTTAGCCTATAGGGGGTACACAATTCTAGGGTTAGGTACTTGTACTGATTTCACTGTTAGTTCAATCATTCCTGTTCGTTCATTTCAACATGGTATAGAGCAGGTCCTTCGCTAGGACCGTTTTTTTTTAGGGCCCACCACTACCTACCTACCTACCTACCTAACTGTGCCCTAGGGCGCCTCGTTTTTCACGGCCCCCTAAGGCCCCGCGACCCGCCCCTTAGCGACTCGCGCGCCGCCCCTTAAGGCCCCGTCGGCCCACGCGCTCACCCCTTACGGCCCCGCGCTTGCCCCTTAGCGACCCTGTCGACCCCGCGATCGCCCCTAACGGCCCCGTCGGCCCCGCGCTCACCTCCCTAGAGGCCCCCGTCGGCCCCGCGCTCGCCCTTAGCGGCCCCTTACAGCCCCGCGCTCGCCCGTAGAGGCCCCGAACGGCCCCGCGCTCGCCCTTAGCAGCCCCTTACGGCCTCGCGCTCGCTTCTAGAGGCCCCGAACGGCCCCGCGCTCGCCCTTAGCGGCCCCTTACGGCCCCGCGCTCGCCCCTAGAGGCCCTGATCGGCCCCGCGCTCGCCCCTAGAGGCCCCGAACGGCCCCCTAAGAACGAGCCGCCTGACCCGAGCAGTCCGAACCGAGCCACCCAGCCCGAACCGAGCCGCCCGAACCGAGCCGCCCAGCCCAAACCGAGCCGCGCCGCCCGAACCTAGCCGCGCCGTCCCGAGCCGCGCCGCCCTACCTGAACCGAGCCGCGCCGCCCGTACTGGACCGAGCCGCCCTACCTGAGTCGCACTACCTACTTTTTTTGGGGTGCCCCTACTGCTATTACTCCTACTACTGCTATGGCTAGCCCTCCTGTGCTAGCTTTCGATGCTGAGGGCCCCCCAGTGAAGTTCGAAACCTGGCTAGATGACCTACACCTCTTCCTACAGCTCACTGCCAAGGAGGACATCTCACTGTACGATCACGCCCTAGGCCATGCTACTACTCCTGCAGCTACTGCTGACAGCACTGCCCGCTCACAGTGGCAGACTCGTGACGCCCACGCTCGCTTCGCTATTCGAAACTCCCTGCCGATAGATGAGCGCGAGCACTTTGGGCAGCACAAGACTGCACAGGTACTGTACACTGCTGTCGTTGCTCGCTACTCCTCACCGGCCTCTGCCGCACTAGGTCGTCTCTCTCTTCCCTACCTGTTCCCCGACTTAGCCTCTTTCCACACAGTCGCTGACCTCATTACGCACCTCCGCACTAGTGAGGCTCGCTTCCGCGCCGCCATGCCTGATGAGTTCCTTGCCAAGAACCCACCCCCACTCTGGCTCACTCTCTACCACCTAGTCACCCGCCTCCCTGACACTCTGCGCTCAGTCAGGGACCACTTCCTAGCTCGCTGCCCCACGGAGCTCACCATTGCCCTCCTCCAGAAGGAACTCCTTGCAGCTGATGCTAGCATAGTCGCTGTAGGTGCTTCTCGTGGCGACCCCCGTACCCCGTTCTTTGAGGGGTGTTCTCCTTCCCCCCTTCTTCCCTCTGTCGCCTCTGCTGCTGCTGTAGACCTCCTTGGTGCTGAGAAGGTCGGGACTGCGTCTGCTTTGAGCGGGCGCCGTAGCGGCAAGGGCAAAGAGGGCAAGGGCGGTGGCAGTGACACCGGGGGAGGCGGTGGTGGGGACGGTGGCGGCGGTGGGGGTGGTGGCGCGACTGGAGGGGCTAGTGGCAGCGGTGGGGGTGGTGGCAGCAGCGGCGGGGGAGGTGGCAGGGGCGGAGGCGGTGGTGGGGGTGGCAGTGGACGCGACAGCGGCAGGGGTTAGGGTGGTCGAGGAGGTGGCGGCGGCGGTAGTGGTCGTGGAGGCGCTGGCGGTGGCCAGGGCCAGCAGCACACTCCGTCGCCCCAGGAGGTCCGTGAGTGGTACTCTCAGCACGGGGGGGTTGGGGTGGCTTTAGCTGCACGTACGTCATTCGCACTGGTGACCGCACTGGTCAGCCGTGTGGGGGACCGCACGCCACACAGAGCTTCTTCGCTCGTCTCAACGACGTTTGGCGTGTTCAGTTCCCTCAGGCCACTGAGCTGCCCCGCTGGGTTGATCTCGTGAAGAAGGGGATTGATATCTATGCTCTAGACTTTGATGCTATTCTCACTGCTATGTATGTGATGTCTACTAGTGGAGGGTGCTGAGTACCTGTGTGTGCCGCCCGACCCGGGCATTAGAACTAGTGCGTCTGCCGCTCCAGGTACTCGCGTGTCTGCTACCCCACGTGCTGGTGAGGCAGCTGCTCTAGGTGCTTGTACGTCTGCCCCCCCTGGTACTGAGTCGACTGCAGCACTGCACACCTTCACGCTGGACTCATGTGCTTCTCGCTGCTTCTTTCGTGACCGCACTGCCCTTGAGCCACTTGCTCGGCCAGTTGCTGTCTCCCTCGCTGACCCCTCTGGGGGTCCAGTCATTGCGACCTCCTCCACTGTCCTTCCCTGACCTGTGGTCCCGTCGGGAACACTGTCAGGTCTCCACCTCCCCTCGTTCTCTACGAACTTGGTGGCAGGTAGTGCACTCCAGGACGGGGGTGTTCACCAGTTCACCCCTGCCTACGAGCGCGTGACACACTACACGTGTGCTCGTACGGGCCGCCACTTGGCTACCTTCACCCGGCAGCCGGGGTCGGACCTGTACACACTGACCACTGAGTCCCCTCAGGTCGCTGCGTCTGCGTCTGCATCCGCGTCAGGCCAGCTGTCTGCCCCCTGCTCGTGTCGCTCTCTGGCGCACGAGACTGTCCTCTTGCACCACCGACTTGGCCACCCGTCTGTGCAGCGCCTTCGTGCCATGCACTCCCGGTACCTTGTCTCTGGTCTTCCCAGAGTCCTCCCTCCCCTCCCACCCTCGCCTGCTCCTCCCTGTCTTCCCTGCGTCGAGGGGCGGCAGCGCGCCGCTCCTCACTCCTCCTCGTTTCCCCCGACGACTGCTCCCTTGCAGACGCTCCACATGGACGTGTGGGGCCCAGCCCACGTCCGTGGTCAGGGTCAGGAGAGGTACTTCCTGATAGTTGTTGACGACTACTCACGCTACACCACGGTCTTCCCCTTGCGCACCAAGGGTGAGGTCCCTGATGTCTTGATCCCTTGGATCCGCAGAGTCCGTCTCCAGCTCAGCGAGCGTTTCCACTCGGACTTTCCTGTCCTGCGCTTGCACTCTGACAGAGGTGGTGAGTTCTCCTCCGACCTCTTGGCAGCCTACTGTGCTGAGCACGGCATTGAGCAGTCGTTCACGCTTCCGGCCTCTCCACAGCAGAATGGGATTGCAGAGCGCCGCATTGGCCTGGTCATGGAGGTCGCCCGTACCTCCTTGATCCATGCAGCTGCCCCCCACTTTCTGTGGCCGTTTGCAGTCCGGTACGCTGCGCATCAGCTCAACCTCTGGCCCCGTGTCTCCTTGCCGGAGACCTCGCCCACACTGCCGTGGACGGGGGAGGTTGGCGATGCGTCGCGTTTCCGGGTCTGGGGATCTCGAGCTTTCGTCCGCGATTCGTCTGCGGACAAGCTCTCCTCTCGAGCTGTTCCCTGCGTCTTCCTCGGCTTTGTTCCGGACGCGCCTGGGTGGCAGTTTTACCACGCCACCTCGCGCCGAGTCTTGCCCTCTCAGGACGTCACTTTTGACGAGTCCGTCCCCTACTACCACCTCTTCCACTACCGCAGTGCCCCGCTCCCCCCCCCCCGCCTCTCTTCCTCGCGCCAGGTGCTGCTGTCGTAGACCCCCTCCCCCCTCAGGGTGCCGCTCCCTCAGGTGTGTCTCATGTAGACCCGGTTGTGCCTGTTGAGGTGGCTGTCGACTCTCGTCCTGCTGTGGGTGCGGAGCCTAGGGGTGCTGAGCCTGGGGGTGCGGAGCTTGGGGGTGCTGAGCCTGGGGGTGCTGAGCCTAGGGGTGCTAAGCGTGGGGGTGCGGAGCCTGGGGGTGCGGAGCCTGGGGGTGCTGAGCCTTGGGGTGCGGAGCGTGGGGGTGCTGAGCCTGGGAGTACTGAGCCTGGGGGTGCTGAGCCGCAGAGTCCGGAGTCTGGGGGTTCAGAGTCTGGAGGTCCTGAGCCTGAGGGTCCTACGCCTGGCGGAGCCCTCTCCTCGGAGCAGTTGCGTGAGTGGTACTTACAGTAGTGCAGCCTCCGGAAAGGTACCTCTGGGGCCAGACGCACTACAAGGACTGGTGCTGGTACTTCTCCTCCTAGCCGGGAGCTCCCCTCCCGTGAGCGAATCAGTGAGTGGTACGAGCGGCGCTGCACTCTTCGGAGTGGCGCGCTTGGTGTCGCGGACCCCGCTGCTGCTGGTGGTGCTGCTGGTGCTGGAGACTCTACTGGTTCTGCTGGTGCTGCGGCCCCAGAGGTTGGAGCTGTTTCTGGTGCTGCGGACCCGGGCGTTGGAGCTACGGCTGGTGCTGCGGACCCGGGCGCTGGTGCTGCTGCTGGTGCTGAGGACCCGGGCGTTGGAGCTGCTGCTGGTACTGACGACCCGGGCGTTGGAGCTGCTGCTGGTGCTGAGGACCCTGGAGCTGGTGCTGCTGCTGGT